CCCAACATTATCTGAGGTTAGAGGCACCTCAATAGTGTATATTTTCGTTTTTTGGTCGAAACGAATTAGGCGATATTTTGTAGAGAAGGGGTGGGCATTGCCGAACACCACCTTCAAAGGCGGCGTACATCATTGCAGCCTTTCGTGTGCTGGCTTGAAAAGAGGGCACACCTGTCAGGAGGAAGGAAGAGGAAGAGTGAAGGTCCTCACCACTCCTCACTGAATTCCGCATTCCTTTTGGGTGTTTTGTGCCTTGTCCTATGCCTTCACGATAGTGCACTCTGCATCTCCTCTAAATTTGTCACTCTTTGACTGCGCTGAAATCAGATTTAGGTACTTTATTAGAACAAGCTTATCACTACGTTTCAGTCACAATTAACGATCAAAATTGGTGGGCAGAATTTGGGATTTTTCCCAAAATGATGGAAATTCCCCTCATTCCCATTTCCACCCCTTTGCTAATGTGGTTGGACACGGGCCTGGATATCCGCTTCGTCACTTCTCTACTACCTAATTTGTAAATGGTTGGGAGGAGGAGAAGATTGTGGAAATGCACAGATCTACTTATATGTTAAGTAAGGGTAAAAAAATGCAATTGTCATTTCTGGGTCTCCCATAGGAGAAGGGCTTGTCATGGGGCATTCCACCAGCCTCTCTCATGCATTTTCGGTGTAAGCTGCCAAGTTGGAATGAGTCAGGTGTGGTGTGGAAGAAGATGGTGTCTCCTTTCTGGTGACTGATGAATAGGTCTTGGGTAGCAGTTTCCGCTGTCCCACTGATCTACCAAAATACTTCTCTTCCACCGATCCGCAATTCCGCGCCGACCCGCCAAGAAGGAGGGGAGGAGGATGCGCTGCTTTCCCACAGGTTGGTAAGAAATATGACCTCAGATGTCTTTCCCCTCTGCAGACTGCGGTAGCATAAACATACAACAGGCATTCCTTTCACCTTAGACTGTCTTCCATCATCTAGTGAAGTGGAAGGGTGCCATTTTGACTTGTGAATGTGTTGC